GCACGGAAAGCCGTAAAAATCTTGAACAAAAGCTCATCTTTCAAACCGGCAGTCTAAATCCCACAGGGATCAACGAACGCTTTTCATTCCACTAATTTATTCGTGTTTTTCTCGTTGCCATGTTCCCACCAATAACGTAGCTCCATTTTCTGCCTTTAAAAGCACACACAACCCACAATTCCTCTATTCGCTCCGACGAAGGGCTAACGCTCGAAACGTCAGCTTTTGTAATCATTACGGTGGCCAATTTACCATTTCAACTTTGTTGATATATCCAAATTATGACAGACAGACAGACAGACAGGCTGAAAGACAGACAGACAGACTTACAGGGTAATTCACTCAGGTTTTATCAACTGAGTTGATAATGAAAATTGACCAACGTAAAGAGCGTTAGCCCCTCATCAGAGCGTTAGCCCTTCGCCATTCACTCTGACGAAGGGCTAACACTCGAAAAGTCAGCTTTGAAACTCCTTACGGTGGCCAATTTACATTATCAACTCAGTTGATGAAACCCAAATAACCTTATAATTCGGACATATCGACAAAGTTGAAATGGTAAATAGGCCAACGTAACGATTACAAAAGCTGACGTTTCGAGCGTTAGCCCTTCGTCGGAGCGAGGAAAAAGCCCTTCGTCGAGGCTAACGCTCGAAACGTAAGCTTTTGTAATCGTTACGGTGGCCAATTTACCATTTCAACTTTGTTGATATATCCAAATTATTTCGTTACTCCCACCGACGCAGCCCCAAACAGTTTCTTTCGAAACTATCAGCCTTTACCCAAATTACCTCGTCTTTCTCACCGACGTGGCACGACAGTTTCTTTAGAAACGTACCTTCTTTGGACATACTTAGGAAAGAAAGACAGACAAACTAACAGACTGACAGACAAAAAGACAGAAAAACTAACCGACTGACAGACAGACCGGTACACCGACAAACAGACAGACAGACATGGAAAGATAGACAGAGGACAGACAGACAAACTGGCAGACAGATAGATACAGACAGAAGGACGAACAGTTCTTATATCTGATTTCAATCATGTTTTCAGATTTCAGTTTCTCGTTTCCAATTGATGGAGGAACTGATAACTACGTTCAGAAGCAGGGGCTGAAGTTCCATTTGTCACAGATGAGTTTTTGCTTCTGGCTTAAAGCAACAAAAGATCGTCTGACCGTCTTTAGCTACCTGAGTTCTAAAGGATGTATAGAGTTAATGCTTCAAGTTGTCGACACGAACTGTTTGTTGCTTACCATAGGAGGAGAAAATAAGTAAGAAATAACACAGTTGAATGACACCTACCCCTCCCTTAACCCAACAACAGTCAACTGATAACAAATTAAGGTCAAGGTTGGGTTAGGGGAGGGGTGGGTGAACAGTTGCTCAGCCAGCACTCACACACTGTCAAAGAGAACACTTCTAAGAAAAAGAGACTTCTTTGTTACGCTTCTAAGAAAAGCAAAATTGCGTTACATTACCAAGTAATTACCTTTTTCTGTAACAAAATGATTAAAATGTTTACAGTTGTTATGCAAATTCTATTTTCAGTCCTTTGCGATAATAAAAGCAAATGCAAAACAGAGTAAAAACGAAAAATAAAAATGGAAACAGCTGTTAACAACAACAGCGAAACAAATGAGTACACACCTAGTTCTTATTGTTTACAAAAGACAGTAATAATGGATTAAGCGATTTTCCACTTGAAGTTTCTCGTTTTACTAAAGTCTTTGAGTGTCACTGACTTGTCGATACAATTCTTTTTTGTTGTTGTTGTTTTTCAGGAAAATTATGACGAAAGTAAACGACGGAAAATGGCATCACGTCTGCACCATATGGAACAACACTGATGGTGCGTGGTCGTTTTTCAAGGATGGTGTTGCGGTAAAAAATGGAAACTCTCTTAAAGTCGGTTATGTCATTCCCTCTGGGGGAACTTTCGTGCTCGGTCAAGAACAAAAACCTGACAAAACTTTCAAAAACGTGCCATTTGTTGGCGAACTGGCTAATTTTAACATTTGGAGCCGCTCTTTGCTTGCCATAAAAGTTTCAAAGATTGCCAAGGGGTGTTTAAGAGGTCGGGGAGACGTAGTTTCGTGGTCTGATTTTCAATCTGTTCAGACAAATGGGAATGTGAAAATTTCAAAGCCTTCTTCGTGCGCGAAGTGAGGTTTAGACAAACTATGCTTGGAGTACATGTTTTTGTGATATCATACATAGCTTTGGCGGGGAAAACTCAAAAAACGAAAGGAGTGATCGTTGCACTAAAAATTTAAAGGATTAAACATGCATAGGAAGAAAAAATTAAAGTTTAAAACTTAAAGGAGGAGTACGTTTTAGATTTTGAAATTTTGAAGGCATTAATCAATTGAATATTATCAAGCAGATCGCTATATATCATGCCTGGCGGTGAGCTCAAGCACGTTGGTGGTCCCACTGATTTGTGTCCAACTTTGTCTAGTTGCTATTTACATTTTATTCCAACAAAGATCCAATTAAATTGACTCTCTTATGACTCTCAATAGATAGGATGGGGTTTTGAGCCTCAAATTACCACCTTTTCATCTTTTATATAATTCTTATTTAGGCTTTCCGTAGGAGGACTTCATTTCTAATTCGGGGCGGTTAAGTCACCGATCAAACTCTAAAGAGCATGTTTTTTTAGCAGTACTACTACAGGAACTGAATTAATGCACTTGTAAGGGATGACATTCTTCACATGTTCATTAAAAGGAGAAGTATTATCTTCTTCTCAAGTGCATTTTGCTTGCCTTGTGATGTGCGCGGAAACCATCTGAAGAACTTGCCTTGAGAGTTCTGAAGAACCTATCGATCTGCTGATGGAACACATTTGTTTTTTTTTTGCCAAAAATGTATGTGAATAAGTAAAAAACAAAAAAAACCTGAACCAAAAAAAATATGAAAGTATTCTGCGTGGTTTAAATGTCTTTGCAAATACATTCTAATACGTGAAGTGACATCACGTTTACGAGGAACACGGGCCCATCGAAGTAATCCCCCTCTTAGCTCCAGTCCAGTGCTCCCCATGTCCAGTCCAGCCTACAAATATTCAGAGTCACCTTCAGGGGGTAAAGGTTTCATGTAAGTTCCATAAGACGTCCCACACAAAATATATCCCATAATACTAAGAATTTCAGATGTCGTGTATGGTTCACGATATGTCCTGGTTAAAATTATTCTACCCAACCTGGTGCGGAAACACGATGTAGTGGCTGGTTGTAATGGATTTTGGAGCGTAAGCAGGACTTCAAAGGCGCTATTCTTGGAAAATATACATTTTATTAGGTAAGATTTTGATCTTAGGAACATTATATTCTAATAAGGGCTTATATTATCAGGCCTTTTTTAAAGAAAGCTTTGACGGTACTAGTATTAACCTTTCCAAATTTACAACACAACTTTTCAAACAATACCAGCATTCGATTTGCTGTCCCTTTCGATTCTGCATCATGGATATTCTACACTGTACTTACATCATGGACATTCTACTCACTGTGCTTACAGTACTCAAATAGTTTAATTTAATACAGTGAGCACTAATTTATTTTGAGCTGCCCTGGTAGATTAGTGTCCATCATGTTTTGTAAACTTTACATACATATACATACATAAAACTTTATTTCATCTCGAATTAAGAGTAGCCAAAGGTAGGCTAGTATCTCCGAAGAATAAAAAAAATTTTCAATCCTAGAATAAAATGAATAAAGGTTGATAGTTTCTAAAGAAACTGTTTGGGGCTGCGTCGGTGGGGATAACGAAATAATTTGGATATATCAACAAAGTTGAAATGGTAAATTGGCCACCGTAACGATTACAAAAGCTGACGTTTCGAGTGTTAGCCCTTCGTCGGAGCGAATAGAGGAATTGTGGGTTGTGTGTGCTTTTAAAGGCAGCAAATGGAGCTACGTTAGTGGTGGGAACATGTTTTTCTCGTTGCCATGTTCCCACCAATAACATAGCTCCATTTTCTGCCTTTAAAAGCACACACAACCCACAATTCCTCTATTTGCTCCGACGAAGGGCTAACGCTCGAAACGTCAGCTTTTGTAATTGTTACGGTGGCCAATTTACCATTTCAACTATGTTGATATATCCAAATTACTAGAGTAAAATGAATTACTATTTACAATAACTAGAAATAATATAAGAATATCATCATCGTTATTATTAGCTCATCATATAATAAAATTATGTTGACAAATTGCTGAAATGAAGTTATTTGAAGATGAAATAGCTCTCAAGTTATCCAGTAGTGCATTCCAGTGCTTAGCAGCTGTATAACTGAAAGAGTTTATGCCATAAGTAGTAGTAACAGGTCTAAAAAGAGTAAGAATGTTGGTTCCTCTCATAGAATAGTCAACAGAGCTCAGAGTAAACAATTCTTTCAGGCACTGTGGGTAATGTTCAAAATTAAGACATTTAAAAATGACTATACTATGAGCATATTCTGTATCTACTTATTGCTAAGAGTACAGTAGATCCTATTTGTTACAAGAGGTCAATGTATGATGAAGTGTTATTATTTAAGAAGACCCTAAGAATGGGTTTGTTCAGTGTTTCTAACTTCTTCTTATGTGTAGCGTCGCAAAAATGCCATATAGTGGAACAATACATAAACTGTGGCATTATAAACACTTTGTAGAAACGTAGTAATACAGTAGCTGGTATGAGCTTACAGAATCTGCTTATAACATTAAATTGATTACTAGTTATTTTTTTTACACATGTTAGAGATGTGTTCATCAAAGCAAAGTCTGTCATCCACAGTAATTCCAAACAATTCAGTTGATTTACATACTGGAAAAGAGAATACATGATCCGAGTTTCCTATTATCATGGCTTGGTGTTTGGTGGGATTGACAAGCATACCGTTGTTTTTATACCATTCGTTTACAATATTAACTTGATGCATTAGCCGCTTGTCTAGTAATTTAGGGTCCTTATCCAAGTCATATAATTGTTCATCGTTCGCATACGCATGAAGCTTCACTTCCGTAATATGATAAAATAAGTCATTGATGAAAATGTTAAAAAACTTTGCCCAAGAGGTCAGGATTTAAGTTACAGTCAGACTCGTGTATGAGGTTTGTTCTCATCCATGCCATGTCACAGGTATCAATCACAAACACACACCACAATTTCTAGTGTATTTACAACTTTAAGTGTATGACATAATAAGTCCATTGTTGTTCCCCCCAACCCCCAGCATGTTAAGTTTTCATGGCAGTTTGCTGAACCACATGTATGCTCCTGGGTGAAAAGAGGCTACTGAAGAGATAAGATAATTTAATTTTATCAGCTAGGTTGATCAGGTAACATCGCTGTCATTAATAATTCCTAAAGTTGACATTTAGTGTGTTACACATACACAACCCATTATACCTCTATCAGCTCTGATGAAGGGCCAACAACCAAAACATCAGCTATAGAAACTCTTTTTGGTGGCCAAATTATCTTGTTATACCTCCCACCAATGCAGCACCACAGTGTCTGTAGAAACCTACCCCCCCCCCCCATTCAATATGAAAGAAACAGGTGTCTTGCCAAACAACACAGTAACCCTGCAGTTAGGTGTCTAACCTTAACCTGTCAACCTGGGATGGATTGTTTAAAACATAACTAAGTTAACTCAGGGTTAGTGCTAGTCTCTGACAAAGCTTCATTGATATGCAGACAGTTACAGACAGTTAAGTTTCGGGTGTATTTCTACTAAACTTTTTTCAGTTTTGCTTTATGTAAGGCTCACTCCTCTCAAACCCTCTGCTCTAATATGTGCTCGAGAAGAGAGAAATATACTTAGAAGTTAAATTTAAAAACAACTGAGTAAAACTTATAATCCTGGATTTCTTACTAACCACCTTATAATCAAGCAGTGCCTGGAGAGTGATTAGACCACCAGATCTTCTACACATTACTGATTACAACTACTAGGTTATTTTTAGAACTACTCCTGCCTAAAGAGTGTTTTCAGTCTAAATGCAAGCATATTTAACCTACAATTGTAAGAATAGTTGAGAGACAAAAAGATAATTACAGGGTAAACTAAGCAGATGAGATTGCCTCGATATGTGACAACAGTGAACTAAAAAAATACCAAACCTTAATTATTGGTAGCAACAATAACTCTGAAAATAACATCGAAGAATGCACTATCTTAGTAAACAAAGAGAAAATCAACATGACTGCTACTCTCCAACTACTTGGAGTCACAATTAACTCAAATTTGAATTCCAATAATCACATAAATACTATTTGTAACAAAGCCAGTCAAAGGATTGGTGTGCTTATGAGACTCCGCAACTTGATTCCAACAAATGTAAAACTACAACTTTTAAGGCAGCCATTCTACTATATCTAACCTAATGCCATCTCGCATGGCATTTTTGTAAATCTAGTGATAGTCGCAGAGTGGAGAGAGTTCAAGAAAGAGGCCTAAGGGCTGTATTCAACGATAAACACTCCACCTATGAACGTTTGCTGCAGAAAGCTAATTTACCTTCGCTACTAAACAGACGCTTACAGGATATATGCATTTTAATGTACAAAGTTAAACACAACCTTAGCCCTTTGAATATTTGTAATATATTTCAGAAACACAACGCTTCCTATAATTTCAGACAGGCCGACTCTTCTATTCCTAGATATAACACAATAACTTACGGCAAACATTCACTACGCTATTTAGGACCTAAATTATGGAGTAAACTGACAACTTATGACAGATCAGCCACAACATTAGCTAGTTTTCAAATCCTCATCTGTAAGCGTGACCTCAGCTCCCTATTAGATGATGGCTGCAGGGGCTGTGCTCTAGGTACTTCTTAATTCATTTAATTTTTTTTTTTTTTCATACATAATACGACTTAATTTTATTCTTAGGTAGGTAATATTCTTTGTAAATAATTTTTATCCATTTTATTTGTGTCCCCACATTAGTATGGGATATCTCCCATTCTAGAAGGTTCTTTGACACGTTAATAAAGTTTCTATCTATCTATCTATCTATCTATCTATCTATCTATCTATCTATCTATCAGTGAACTAACCTGCATGATCTGAATTCTGTTTCAATGGCATCATCTTATTTTTCAGTTAAATAATGAATAGCATTAATAAGGTTCTGTGATCATCTGCAATACACAATACCATTGCACTGTTAATTATTAAAGTAGTGGTCTTACTGAAAAACACCTAGTGAGGGAATTTTCATGAAAATTAACAATAAACATTAAAAAAATTATGCGCTTCTAAAGTACATATTACAAAGAGCATGCATGCTGTCAAAAATCATCTGCCTTGACTTTCTGTGATGTTTCCCTTTTTTTTTCATTTAAATTATTTGAATTCAATTGGGAGTAAATAAACACTTGTGATTTTTTCAAAGACTTCAAATTTCGACAAATTGCAGTTGTCTACGTTGTCTTTGAAAATTTACTCAGTGCTTAAAACTCCAGATCGCACTCAAAATCATGTTATTACCCATACTCATTTTTTACACTTTTCAGAAATCCGGCTCACTGGTTTTTCATTTTCCTTTCAGAGACAGCATGTCTATCTCAGACCAGGCCCTCTCAGAGGGTTCTGACAGTTGTCTCTTAAATGGACTGGGGCTGGACGCCATTTTTCAAGAAGAAGAATCAGCGAGATGCCTCAGTCTTGACATGTGGGGAAATTGTCGCGCTGACAACTTTCAACAGAAACTGGAAGAAAATGAAAGTTTTAAACCGCTGAGAGTTCATCTCTTGAGACAAGTTGCAGACTACTTCAATAGAATAAACGTTCGTTACTTTATTTATGGTGGCACAGCCCTGGCTGTTTATCGTGAAGGTGGAAAAATTATCAAACACGATGGCGATATTGATTTGGCTATTCTGGAAACTGATTTTTCGAACGTTGTCCACAATATTGATAAATTCCCAGCATTAAAAGACGGTGATATTTTCATGTCAGAAGAATGCTCCCTCCTCAAGCGAGGCTGGTTTGATGCAGAAGGAAACGAGATTCCATTTTGCGGAGTTGGAGGAAAACGCTTAAAATTGTTTGCCACCAGAAAGCTTTTCAGGCAGTTTGGATTTGAGACTGATGAACATTTTGATATAGGCCTGGCTCATGTAGACGTTTTTACTCTCAGCGAACATCCGGATGATCCGAAATGCTTCTGTGTTAACTGGAATGTACCGGGTGCCTACGATTACAGGAAGAAAGCCTTTCCAAAATCAATATTTTTCCCTCTCAAAACCTATTCTTTTGAAGGGCTGGAAGTTACTGGAATGAATGACCTCAAAGCCTATCTGGATATAGAGTACGGGTATTTAGGTCGAGGCGCCATGTATGATCTCAAAACTCAGCTTTACGTCAAAATACCAGAAATTTTGCTTACTCAACTTCCAGAAGGCGTGCAGCAGTCTTTTCTTGCTAATTCGTAACTTCTGCTATTTTCAAATGGGTCATACTTTAGTGCTATTTAACTATTGATACAGCTCACGAGCGAATTTTCTCGAAACAAAACCTCGTTTGGTGGAGATCTTATTTGTTTTTATGGTGTTGTTTTGTTTTGTTTTTGAAGGGGACTGTCTGGGGACTTTTTGAAATAACACTATGACTCGAAGTAAGCTCTAGAATTGTTATGATTGTCTGTAATAATGTATTTCTTACATAACCAGTCGAGAATTTTCCTCAGATGTGCTAAACTTCGCCCATGCCAGTTACTGTTTGGTGCAGAATTGACAGTCTACAGAAGTTTGATGACGAGCTACTTTGCAAAAAGGCAATATTTCTAGGGTTGTTGGGAAATTTGTTGGGCTAAACTAATTTTTGGTACAATTGAAAGAACGATTACCAAGCTTAGCAATGTAAAATTTGTTCAATAACTCACCCATCCCACATTTAAAAAAAAAACCGATTTGGATACCCAGCCTCGCGTTTCGTGTACACTTAATTTGACTCTCTCTAGTTTGGACAAAGCCACAATTTGTTGGATAATGTAGACTTTGATTACAGAAGTTTTGAGACTCACGCGACAACCAGTAGCCTGCGTGCAGCCGAACGAAAACCCCGGTTTTATTCGTCTGCGAATCAGCGACAAATATCTTGTTCTGGCGTCTGGAGATCTGGGTACTAATATCAGTACTTCGTTCTGCATTTTGATTGGGTGCTTCTAACGAGCACTCTCATTGGCTTACAAAATTGCCTCGTTTCAAGTCTTTCGAACACAAAGAGAATGGCGTCTGTCGAAGAAAGTGTTTGGAGAGAAGCCTTTTCCCAAGTTCTCTCTCAATTCGAAATTAACGACTTGTTACCCGAACAAAAAAAAAAACAAGACGATCATTTTTAGCGGGATCTCATGTATTTGTTAATCTTCCGACGGGCTTTGGCAAGTCACTTATATTCCAATGCCTTCCCATCGAGTCAGACGTGATAAACTCCAAGCCGTGAAAACAAACATGGCACATGAGGCAACCTGGTGCGGGTGATTTTCAGCCAATGAGCGCCCTCGTAAGGAACAACCAATCGAAACGAAGTGTTCGAATCTCGGTACTCCAGAACAAGATATTCGTCGCTGATTCGCAGACGAAGAAAACCGGGGTTTTCCGTTCGGCTGCACGCAGGCTAGGCAACCAGATAGTAGAAGTTCTTTTCCACGATCATTCTTTCAAATCTTGTCCGCGCCGTACTATTTATTATTCTGTCAAGGGCTTCTCAGTTAAATGGTTTCAAGTCAAAACGCACTGAATTATGCATTATTTCGTGGCTTGCGTATCTTCTATAAAGGATAATAATTCCAGATGCTTTACTTACTTACACGTAAGATAGACAGTAGGGTAAGAATGTTACATTTATTAAGCGTTGATTACAAGAACAATTGTGAAACGGAAGGAAGATTTTCATCACAAAGCGGGAAGAAAGTACTTCCACCTTTTCTGAAAAAACAAGAAACAGTCCTGGAACTTTTTTCCATGAAATATCAAGCACTGTTGTCCTTGAAATTACAATGGTTTATGAAAAATGGAATAATAAAGCTTTCTGCGTTCTATAGCTCTTGACAGAAAAACTTGCAGGTCGAAAACTGTGTCAGTTAGGTGAGCTAAACAATCAGAGCAAATCCCAACAAAAGCGAGATACCACTGACCATAAAAGAGACGCTCGTAAACGCAGCCAATGCCGCAGGTGGGAGTGGTTTTGGTTTGACAAGGTGGTTGTTATTGCACAAGTCTGTCTGTCAGCAGGCTACTCCACACCTGCTGACTTTTACTCCTGGAATTATGTCAACAATTTTTCTTACGCCTTCAGGACTACAGTTCTTCGTTGCAAGTTTGGAACAAAGGGTCTGTTAAGAGAGAAGCAAGGTGATTAAAAGCCGGTCTAAATAGGATGGAAGAGTGGTATGATTAACTGGCTGACAGGCTTCTCGATGACTGTTTGGCCGAGTGACTGACTGAATGACTGATGGAGTAACTGACTGACTGACTGACTGACTGACTGACTGACTGGCCGGTAGACTACTTAGCTGACTGACTGACTAACTGACAGTTTAACTTACTTACCTACCGACTGTCTGACTGATTAACTGAATGAATAAATGATTAGCCAGCCAAAGTAACTGAGTCACTATCAATTCACCAGGCAGACCGAAATACTAGCCGTCTGAAGAACTCCCAGATTCATCCTTAACCAACCTTTTGCCCGCATGTCGTAGTAAACGCCTGCTTTTCAATGCCAAATTTGGTTTTGACCATTAGTGCAGTAGTCACGCATGCGTCAAAAAGTCCCGCACAGTTGGTTCTTCCCATGGGTTTTGTTCACAAAAGAAGCCGTGGCTCGTTAGTGAGTACATTGTTAGCAATGTGTTGTTACCATAGAAATTACGCTCGAGAAGTTGGAGGTAGTGGTGTCATATCGCTAATTTTCTTCCGAAACTGAACTTGTTTTCAAGAAGACATTTTGAGTTTACGACAGTATGATATAGAAACAAGGTTTGGCATCAACAAGACGAATTTCAAACAACGGCACACAAGCAGAAGGTTATTTGCGCCGGCGGACAATTGAATTCATGCCTTTTTTTTTATCTTTTCCTATATACATACATACATACATACATACATACATACATTCACACATACATTCATAGTTTATTTGGTAACGCAGGTTAGTTACTGACAGCATTAAGCTGATGTGGACCTGCGATAAATCTAACTTCTATCCAATTAAAGTAATTACAAAAACAGTAGAAAAATCCTTGCATAAATTAATATATAAGGGTTTATAAACTGGTTTGTAATCCTAGCATAAATTTCAATACGGGTAATGAGATAAAATTCCTAAACACAATGGCTCTCATGAGTCGCGTCTTAAACTTGTCATTTTCACATCAGAAGATTTTTTCTTTTCTACCCCGCAAGCTATTTGAGCTTCTAAAAAGCAAGGCGCTTAGAAAAAAATAACTTCGCTTGTTTCCTTGCAAAAATATGCTTCAAAAGGCAAGTTTTGTTTTATTCTGCTTTAAAACAAATAGATACTTTTGTTAAAATCCTTGACCGTTAGGATAATTGCTGGCGGCAAAATGAGCAATTAGCAAATTAGGTCCTTTTTGTTATAGAATCATTCTTGAAAAGTCTTCAGAAAGCAATGGCTTAAGGCAATAAGGCTCTACCCGCAACATATGCATATATATATTTTCGAATTGGAAAATGTTTATATAAACTTGTCACTAAAATATATGAGTCAACCATTGCTCTTTTCAAGTAAAGGTAAGGTGTGTTATTGTTTGAGTAATCAAAGAGGTCACAACAACGGGTGAACTGAAGTTAGTATAGGGCTCTTTGACGCCTTTTATGTAAAAAAAAAAAATACAATATATACGTATGAGGACCGTGGATTAAACGCGTTTTAATTCTTAAAATAAGAAAATTTCTAGATTTTATACGTAACAGCTCCTTAACACATTGGTATCCTGTTACAAGTCGTTAAGCTGTCGACAGCTGACCAGGAAATTGGAGGCTTTCCATAATGTTGACTGAGTGAAATAACGAATCACTAAAAATCTTGTAGATTTCAATTTGGGGAATCTGCGTTTGACTTGGCAAAAATAGAAAGAATGTCAAGCGCCCAATGCTGACTGATATCAAGTTTCTACACTTGATAACATAGGCCTCGCATGATGCATGTGCATGAAGTCTTCTTATGCGAGCACCGCAAATCAAACATGGGATTCTCTTTCCATATTAAAATTGATAAGCGTTTTTATGTCATTCAGTTCAATCCAGTACTTACCACAAGGAATAGCGACAAGCAGTAAAGCAGTCAGGATTAAGCCCTTCATCATTCCAATCAATAAAAAAAAATCCTCAAAAGACAATTAATCTTTTAATCCCGTCTTTTCAAATTCGGCAGCTACAATGAGCCAACACGCCCTAACGCTGTAGTTCGAATTGAGATTAATGTCGATACCAGGTCTCCGTAGACTACACTCGAAAATTCGAGCGCCTCACTCATGGAGCTCCCGCGGCGCATCGGCGTCATTCCGAGCGTTCTCCAAGCGCGTTCAAATATTTTTTTTCACTGATTTTTTTTTTTTTTTTTGACACGCGCGACGGACTTCGCCGAAGTGGGACTACTCGTAGTCTAGGAGGTCTCCGTGACGGAATCTGGTAAGGGAATAGTAGCGGGTTTTCGACCTTCAAACGCGTGTCCTCCATATGCTGAGGCTGCAAATTTGCAGCAACAAAAGAGACTTCACTGATAGCCAAACACAGGCGTACGGGTGAGAGGCAAAACAGGGGATGGACATAATTCGCATAGAAACACTTAGAAGAAATATTTGACCAATCCAAAAAAGTGCTGACAACGTGATTTTCTAAATTGGAAGTTAGGCCATTTATAGTTAGTAACCGATGTATTTCTATGTGATTAGACTGTAGCTCGTCGAATGTGTTCTTCTTTTCAAAAAGTTGGAATCATGCATAGAAGATGTATCATTTGTTACTGTTCGGAGGTATCTTGCAGTTCACTACACTACTCTTTTCTTTTCATAATTCAAGGAATAAAATATTCTTTCGTTAAGCTTTTTGCAGGCAAAAAAGCCTTTGTTGAGATTACACAAGGGATTTGGAGTATTTTTTTCTGAGATTTACTACAAAATTAAATATTTATGGCGGAAATTTTTTACCATTTCTATATCGTCTATCGATAAAAAATAAAACAATATCAAAGCGACCGGGGACCAAAACTAAAAAAGAATTCGCATTGGTCTGATGTTTTGTAGAAGTTGCGATAAAAAAATTTGCAAAAGGCTGAATATCTACCCCTTCCAAGGGCAATAATATGTTTCGAAGGGAAGAACAAATAGAGATTAGTGGATTTGTGTGGTCTCTTTGATAGTTTTAAAAGGTGAAAATTCAGTGTACTCAACAAAAATTTAAATTAAACTTCATAACACAAAGAATAAAAAACATCAAGATAAAGCTGACAAACCATTGTCTAGATTTCCATACCTCTGGTATTTTTCTTTACCGAATTGATCACTGAACAGTGTTTTTAAAACGAGGTAGCACAATTGTGCTTTGAAAACAAATACCGAATCCCGATTTATTATCACAACTTGTAAATGAACCAAAGTCACAGGTACGCCTCATTCCATTACATAAATCGCAGTGACAGCGATTCCAGCTGTCAAGAGGAACACGGGGTAGGTAATCAAGGACACATCAGTGCAGGGTGTCATGGATTTAGTAGTGCGTTTCGATAGTACCACGAGGTTCTTGGTGTTGCATTTGTTTGTATAACAGCATTTGATGCCACACCCATCTATTTTGGAGCCTGGGACATACTTGGTAAAGGACTTCATATTT